AGAAAGAGGAAGGAGGAAGAAGAGATGGATGGCGAGACTAAGAAGAAGAAGAAGATGTCATCCTCCTCGCTGTCTCACCTGCAGGTAACTGCCGCCGTGACTAACTGCCACCGGCATGTCTCTCTGTGCAGGTTGTGGGCGTGGAGCCCAGCTATGGCGCCCAGGTAAGTACCGCCGCTGCAGGTATGGCCTCCACCTCACCTCCTACCTATGCCTCTACACCTTAGCCCAGCGCGGTGTCGCACTGCTCCAGCAGCGTGTCGTCCAAGAAGTGAGCTAGTCGAACTGTGTGTCTGCCCTGGCCTGGCCCAGCTATATGTAGCGCTGGGCCTCGCTGGTGTGCCTCTGGTCCTTGGCCTGAAACGGCCTGCCTGGGTCCCTACCGGACGTCCAGGCCCTCCCTGCTGATGCAGCACGGATTGTCCGCTACTGGGCGAACACGAACCTGGCCCGAAAGGACCTGCCTGCGAACGAAGAAGGCCCAAAACGTGGCCTTTGTCCGAACAGACCGAAATTCTGTTCGGACGAACTGCAAGTCCGAAACGATGCCTGAACAGACAAAAATAGGACAGCAAATAAATAAATAAATAAATGAATGCTGTCTCGAATCCAATCCTGCGGCCCTAGGACAGCAAATATAAATAGGATAGCAAATAAATAAATAAACAAATGAAGGCCGGCCGTGGGCCTCCAGGGTGCATGCCTGAATGGCGTGCGGCCTGGGGGCCCCCAGCAACTGTCGGGCCCCCGAAACGGGGCCCATGTGCGCTCAGCATGTAACACATTGTGCATGTGTGCTCAAGGTGTCGAGCAGTGAGGCTCAATGCATATAGATATGTGTAGGACCGGCGAGGTAGATGGACAAGCAGTCTGGTTGGCGGCAGGGGCTCGACCAACCGACCTTTATGTCGGGACTCAAGAAACTCCTTTTACAAGAACTGTTGCAATACATTGGGGAGTACAGGACTTCTGGAATCAAACATTCCCTCCAGATGATGAGGGCGGCAGCAAAGAAGCAACTGCTGCAGAGAAAATTTGGACTTAGACACTCTCCACACGCTTCACGTTACAGCGCTATGCCCTCTTGCGAGCCACGCGGCATGGGGCCGGCCACGGCGGTTTCCGAGCGCTGCTGTCTGAATGGAAGAATGGCTGTGCGAACACATTTGAGAGCAGGCCGTGCAGAGAGCACTCCTACGCTCCATTATTGGCAACAACGGAATCCGTAACTCTAAGAGCTGGCGATGCTGTGCTCTTAAGAGTTTTTGGGAGAGAAATCTAAGTTACGACAAGAGTATCAGACAGACGACGGAGCAACAAGGACCCGAAAAAGAAAAAAAAAAAAAAAAAAAA